GTCTTCCTCTTAAAAGAACCCAAAATAGGAAAATTTTATGACCATTACGCTGGCAAGTACGAAATAATGGAAATGTTGAGCGACCGAAATGTAAAAATCGATCTAAGAAACGGCAAGACTAAGATAGTCCACATGGACAAATTAAAACACGCGCATATTTGTCCATCTGATTGACCATTATCAAATATTGTAATCTTAAGCCTGTATAAATTTAAATAATACAGGAAATAAACAAAGTTAAGAGGTCAAGAAGGACAAAAGAAAATGGTCGTTGTCCATCGGGTGAAGCGGGGAAATTACAGCGATTCTGCCTTCCTTTGTAAAAAGTATACATATTAACCATTCAAACCAGATACCTGATAATTCCGAATTTATTTTAATCTTTGTAATTAAGCAGAGTCGTTGTAAAGGGGCCTCACTCCTTCCTAATGATAAATTATTCCCTTTTGGAAACCTTAGCGAATTCCTCTTTTATTTAACCCCTCCCCCCTCTCCTATATATATATATATAATACACCAAATTATTTAGTGGAAGAAGAATGTAAATTGGAAAGCATGAAAATGAAGGCGCTAAGNATATATATGTATACATAAATTTCATAGAAACTAACGAGCTGCCTTGAGAAAGGGTTATATCCCTTATTATCCGGTCCAGGTTGTGACCTCCGTCATTTGGTACGTCGTCTTGGTTTCTCCTTTCCCCGTAAAAGGCATGGGCACCGGACTGACTGCAAGTGTTTGAATTCCGCGGTGCACGTCAGGGGACAAGTCACAAAGTCCCTAGCATAGGCTCTTCTTAACTGAACAGACCTTAGGACCCTACAATTTCCTCCCTCAAATCTTTCGCCCAGTATTTATCTTTGCACCACCGAAAAATCACCAACTCACCAGGTAAGCACTCTTAGGAAATTATGACCTCCGAACTATTTTAAACTCCTCTTTTAAGCTCCTCCTTATTTCTAGCACAACGGTAACCATGAACGATCTTCCGTTCCCAGACGCCCTGTTTGACGACATGGACATCTTTCCCCCATACCTGGATTTCCCGGATGGGGAGGACTGGATGATGCAACCAGTTAATCAGGGCGTCTTGTGCGTCATGTGTCAACCGAGACTGCCCTGCATTTTCCATGCGGACGAAGAAATGTTGGGAATAGCGCCCCAGTTACTCCATGAGCCGGCTATGGCAAGGCCTGCCGACTCTCCAGAGATTCCTCCACCAAGGATTGAGGCCCCTCAGATTGCCCTTACTTACCCCCCAATAACCAGGGCTAGCATACCCACCTGAAAAAAATGTCGGAATTTTATGTAGAATTACTTCTGTAAAACTTTCAGGAAAACCATATAGCATTACACATGGTTTGACATATGGCATTACATAAAGGGTTATAGCTTGGTAATGCCATATGTACTTCCATATGGAAAAACACATGGAATTACTAATTGGAAAAAGAAAAAATTTCTATCATCTAGAAAAAACTGAAAAATACCATAATAAGTTATTTGCGATTAACAATTTGTCTTACCATCGGGATGATAACTCTAAAACAAGGGAGTTCAGCTGATTTTGCTTCTATAGAAAAAAATTTTATTTTATTTTTTTATTCCTAAAATATAACTTGAATCCTCTTGTTATCGAGTTATCATCCAGATGGTAACACTCATTGTTTACAGTAAATGACACATTACAGTATTCTGCAGTTATTTCTAGATGACAAAAATTTTTTTCCTTTTTCCAATTTGTAATTCTATGTGTTTTTTAAAATGGAACTACATATGGCATTACCAAGATAAAACCCCTTATGTAATGCCATACGTAAAACCATATGTAATGCCACATGGCTTTCCTGAAGGTATTACAGAAGTAATCACACGTGGAATTCCGTCTTTCTTTTTCAGGTGGGTATGTCGTCCCAGACCACGCAAAACCGAATATGGGTTTGCATCCCGTAGGAAGCCCCACTTCCCCCGTTGACAGCTGGGCGGCTGATATGTTCGACAAGGCGCTCAGGGGAGTTTTGTGGGGTAGGAAGAATATTTGCGATATCACACATGAAATGCCTATTCATGGAGAAGGGAGAGGAGTGGTTCTGCACACGATGCTTGCCCGTTGGAAGTCCGTAATGGAAACTAAGAAGTATCCATCTTGTCCGGAATCCCCAGTGTCCAGGACCATGTCGAAGAATTCCTGGAATTGTTAATGCTATAGACAGGTGTCCAGCCTGCCAGAGGGTATGGGTAAAAGCAACATCATCGTCATCGTCATCGTCATCGTCATCATCATCATCAGTACAAGCACCAAGAGCTTACAATTCTAGAGACCAACTTCCAGAGCGACAGAGACCTTCCTGACCGTGGCCTGGCAGTCCTGGCACTTTCGTGCCTAACCAGGTAACGAACCAACCCTAACAACGCCATCTGCCGGACGAACTCCACCAATAACTTCGTGCTCTACAAGCGCCTGTCGCCCGATGACCTGGGGTGCTTACACTGCTTACTGGCCACTCTGTGCAATAATAAAATATTAATTAATAGCACAAGCGCCTGTCACCCGATGACCCGGGGTGCTTACTGGCCACTCTATTAAATAATAAAATATTAATTATTAACAGAAACACCTATAGCCCAATGACCCGGAGCGCTAAGTGGCCTCTCTATTAAATAATAAAGTATTAATTATTAACGCAAGCGCCAATCACCCGACGACCCGGAGTGCTTACTGGCCACTGTGTGAAATAATAACATTAATTAATAGCACAAGCGCCTATCACCCAATGACCCGGGGCGCTAACTGGCTACAGTATTATTTGATAAAATATTAATTATAAACACAAGCGCCTATTACCCGATGACCTGGGACGCTCACTGGTCGCTTTATTAAACGATATATATTATTGATTAGTAATACAAGCGCCTGCCACCCGATGACCCAGGGCGCTTACTGACCTCTCTATTAAATAATAAAGTATTAAGCACCTATCACCTGATGACCGTTGTGCTATTAAATAATAATATATATCGTTTAATAAAGCAACCAGTAAGCGCCCCAGGTCATTGAGTACTAGGCGCTTGTGTTATTATTATTACAATTTTTATTTTCGCGCGTTGTGGGTACCATCTTTGGCAATGCTCCTTCACTGCTGTCTGCTCGGCTTATATTATATAGCTATACATACGATCTAGGGAAAAAGTTCCGATATTGAATCCGCCTAACCCGTTCCGGTCGGGACTGCAGCGTCACCACTGTTCTCTACAAAGATATTAGAATAGAGCACGCTAGAACGCTAGAAGCCAAATCATCCGATATGCGCAAAGAGAGAGAAGGCTGCCAGTGAGTCCCCTTGTGTCCTTGTCTAAGAAGTGTACAGAACGAAAAGAATCAATACGCATGCGTTCATTAGTCAAGGATACTGAGAAACTCACTGGCAGCCTTCTCTTTCGCTCCGCATATAAGATCCACTTATAGGCTAGCAGACTCCTGGCATGCACTATTCTAATATCTCTATGGGTGCGTTCCGTAAGCTCCAGTAGTTAATCTTCAAATATCTCGGTATCCTAGATGTCATTCAAGTGTAAAGGCTAAAGTATGACATGTTATCTCTCTCACACTAATAAGATACCTACACATTATCTAAATACTTAGATTAAACAGCCAGTGCTTACTCCTATGGCTACTCTCTCACTGCTCTTCTCATAGACCAAGAGCTGAGGCCGAAGAGCGAAGGGTGGTCAAAATTTCAACCAGCCGCAACTTACACCAATGGGTAGAAAATAAAAAGTTGTTCTTAGGAATGCTATTTGCGGCAAAATTAGAATGCATTTTGTACCCGAAAATCGACCTTCAAAAAAATAGACCCCCTACCCAATCTTATCTCTAATATTCATCTAAGAAAATAGATGATGCATTGTAGATAATAATACAATATCTATATTTTTGGAGGACGATTTTCGGGTACAAGATGCATTCTAATCTTGCCGCAAATGGCACTT